GTATTAGTGTGAGGGGCGTGTCGGTGTCGTGTTTCTCTTTTGTCACCTGCAGCATTAATTCTTTGGCTCATTCACCTTCAGCAGCAGAAACACACACACAGATGGAGTCCAGCAGCGGGCGCTTCTCTCTCTTCTCCCCGCACACAGCGCTCTTCCTGCGGCCGGAGGACAGGAGTTTCCCGCGCAGCCCGAAGTGCGCACGCTGCAGGAATCACGGCGTGGTTTCGGCTCTGAAGGGCCACAAACGCTTCTGCAGCTGGCGCGACTGCGCGTGCGTCAAGTGCGCGTTGATCGCGGAGAGGCAGCGCGTCATGGCGGCGCAGGTGGCGCTGCGGAGGCAGCAGGCGCAGGAGGAGCTGCAGATGCTTTACCCCGCGGCAGCAGCGAGCGAGGGCGGCAACAATACTACAGCGAGAATAAAAGTTACACCTTCTTTCTTTGCGTGAACATTTGGGCGGCGTTATGCAAATCCTCCCACATAGTGATGTAGGTATGTGGGGCGTGTTAGAACGAGGTGTTTTAGGTAGACGTGGCTGACTCTGAACTTTCATAAATAATATCTCTTTGGATTTGAGACTTTAGTCTTTGCAACTTTACAGATCTTCTTTATGCGCCAAGAGCTTGTAACACTCCAAAGAGAAAGGAACAATTGAAATCGCATCATATGATCCCTTTAAATGCTAACAGAATTCATCCTTCTCAGTAGATTTGCATTTAGTCCATTTAATGTTTAACGTAATGTATTGTGAGTGTTTATAGTGAAACCAGTGACTTCCGTTCTGTTGCCTGCTATGAACTAAACACTGTTTTATTTCTGCAGAGACAAACCTAAATAAGTGCAGTGTGTTGAGCGGACTGATGGATCAGGCGTTGTTCAGCCCGCACACACCTGCGCTGAGTGAGCCGTTAAACGACAGCGTGTCTCCCGGATCAGATCTGGAGTCCGGCAGCGAGTCGGAGAAACCCAAAGAAGAGCTTTCCAAAACGAGCGGGCGAAACCCCGCTGCTGTTCTGACGAAGATCTTCCCTCGTGTCAAGCGAGACGCTCTTGAGTCGGCGCTGAAGGCCTGCTCGGGAGACGTGGTGAGGGCCATTGAACTGCTGCTGGGTTCTCAGGAGGGCCAGAACTCAAGCGGAGACGTGCCTCTGTCGGAGAACCTCCCCATCTCCCGGTCGTCTGCCGTCTGCCTCACAGAAGCTCCTCTAAGACACTTCAGCTCCAGATCAGCGTTCTCTCCCCTCCACGCCTCCTCCGGTTTGCTGGGGTTAAACCCTCGCTTTGCCATCGCTCCGCTGCGACTGGCCTACTCAACACCCAGCTTCATTCCTCCGTATCTGACGCCTGCGTTTGTCCCGGCGCTGTCCCTGCGGCCCCCAGCAGACTATCCGCTCCCCGGGGCCCTGCGGGACCTGCCTTACCCCAAAGACACTTTCAGCCCCGCAGTGTTTTACTCCAGCCTCAGCCACGACAAATAATCCAAGCCTCAGTCTCTCTCTTTATTAAACTACTGTACAGTGTACAAGCGTGTCGTGATTTGAGATCGAGTCGCAAGCAGCTCATGGAAGCAATTACAGTTTTATACACACATAGTTTTATACATAATTTTTTGTAAATGCTGTATATTTTTATGCATATTTGAAAAAGTCACAGTTTGTTAATAAAGCTTAGTATGGAAACTGGACTGATTGTAGACTGGTTAAATAAAACCACTATAAATCAATACAGCTGTCTGATCTGTAAACACATTAAAATGATTATTACATGAGATTTTCCTGCGAATAATGAAACGGTATGAAACTGCTGCTTTACAGGAACATCTGCAGTGTTTGCAAATGAATAGATTTGGGATGCTAGAAGAGTTAGTATTAACACCGATATAACATTTGATGCTGTTGCTGTAAATCGTTAATGTTTCATAGTGATGATTCAGTAATAGTTGATATGTCGTAGTTATCTTTGATTACAGCTGTTAGTTTACAAATTCCTTGAGTTAAATTCTGACAACATGATCTTACATTAACTCTGATCTTCTGAAAAAAGTAGTTAACGTTGACACTCAAAACCGGAATATTGGGTTTAATAGTATTGTAAAAAAATAAATAATAATAAAAAAATGCAGCGCTTCAGTAATAATCAAACAGCTTTCTACTCAATTCAGCGTAAAAACTGTTGTTGTCTAAAAGGAAAATTTCCTCAAATCACGTAATATTGACAAAACAAAAAGGTTGCCAAAAAAGCAACATTGTACAAGTAAATAAAATTAAATAATATATATATATCAAACATAAAACAGTTTTAAAACACACAAGTGAGCATCATGATAAAATCTCTTCTCAAGTTGACTTCCATCCACCCCAAAAACACAATTAATCAATCCTTAATTTGGCCACAAACATTTCAGACTAATAAAATAATGCAAATGCATCCAGAAAGGTACAGTTTTACATGAAACATACAATCAGACTGAATCGTGTATATTCACACATTATACAGACACATACAAATTCATGTTTTAGAGAAAATATAAGGAACTAAACACCAATATGCAGTCAACATTTTAACAAATTAGTTCAAACTGCAGTCAGAGTCATAAAAACAAAACAATGTTGCTATTTCATGAGCATTTAGTGATAATATAAGCACACACGTATACTGTACAATATTAATCCTCGCCGATGGGGCTGAGAAACACTAACCACACGATTACAAGATGAGTGAGAAATGAAGGATGACAGCGTCTTCACACCAGTGTAGCTCGTATACAATCAAAACCAGTCTAGACACGTTTGCTTTGCTTTGTCCTTACTTTATCTGAACACCTGTAATCAATCAGGCAGAAGACATCGGACCAGTTCTCATATTACACGAACTATGCATCGATTTGAAAACGTGAACAGTTCTAGTCTAGGCTCACCGTTGAAACCGTTATTGTTTTATTTATTTAGCTTCACTTCTGAGAACTGACATTAAACTAACAGCTCCACTAGCAATGCTTCTGATCAACACTAGCACTGACTGAAAACATGCTTAATTACTGAAGGCCAAGCCTCAAATCCTTCTGTGCTTTTAGAAACAAAGAAAGACATTATGAACGTCATCATGCGTCCTTTTGAGAAGCAGCTGAGCTCAGACACAGACCACCACAAGAGTCCTGTTTCACACAGAAATGTGTTTCGTGTCAGTCTCTACTGCTGAACATATTGACAGAGCGCCACCTAGTGATTGACACACAACATCTCTGGTTCTGATGTGTGAAGCTTGTCATGTCTGAGCTCCTGGAGAGGACAAAGCCTTTTTCATTAATATAAATTCATTTAATTCAGTTTACTCGAGCAAAATAAAATGAGAATGTGCTGTAAAATTGTGCTGTTAGTGATGTTGTGAGCGCCGTCCACATGATGCTGTGCCTCTGAACATGTGCTGAAGACCAGAGAGATGGACATACAGTGTGAGGAACATGAAGAAAACCCAGACGGCGGAGTCTGCAAACTGCATATTGCACCGTGTCTGATAGATGTGTGTCATGTACCGCAGTGCTCTTGTAATGCTGCCAGTGTTTAGTGTTTTTAAGGTCACTGTGTTCCTGATGTGTGTAAATATTTGCTATGTGGTGGGTTGGTTTTGAGACATGAATGTTAAAGTGTTTTTACACATGGAACAATCCTGTATTCATTGTACTAATATGCTGCTCAGTGGAGATAATTTCACAGATACGTACAGTTAAATACATCAGCCGTGTGTCTGAACAAACACTGATGTTTCAGAAACAGACAGCGCTAGACTGCTCTTCATAAAGCGTGTGCGTGTTAGTTTTTTATTAATTATATGATAAATAAACAGAAAACAGATAGAATAGAAAGAACAGAGCAAGCTAGTGTTAGAGGCCTTTTTTGCTTTTGTTAACTGTATAATAAATAAAAAGAAAACAAATAAAAATAATAGAGAAGCTAGTGTTTTTTAAGAAAAAAAAACAGTTAGTAAATGAATAGAATGCAAGTCTAAAAGATTTTTTTAAATAATAGAAATAGAATAGAAAGTGTTAGCGTTAGAGGGTCAAATAAAGGTGGAACAGATGTGTTTTAGGCGCTTCTTGAAGATGGTTCAGGACTCATTCCACCAGGAGAGAATCGTAATAACACTATGATACCCAACTTTATACACAAATATACCTTTTATATAAATAAACTGTAAACTGTATATTTTAATTTTTAACTCAATTCTAGTTGCCCTGTCTCTTTATGCTCTCCTCCTGTTTGCTCTGGTGAGGCTGGTTAAGTGGATGAAGTACGCAGTCCGTGACGGACAGATCGTTAACGGCTGGCCTATGAGGTAATAATACAGTACATCGGGCAGGACATCCAGACGCCCGCCCATCATTCATCGACCTCAGATATGGCTTTTCATCTGAAAGATGTATGTAGTAACAGCTTTACATGGCCGCTCAGTCTAATGTTAACTGGAGAAGTGTGTGTGTGGAAGCTGAAGAGCAGCGCGCTCACAGCAGGACAGATGGACAGCTGCGCTCACTTGCTCTTAAAATACTCCGTACATTTTGGACATACAGATAAAAGTAATACATCTTTCGAATCTGTAAAGCCTCTATGTTTATTTGTGTTCACTCTGAATAACAAAGAAACGTTGCGCTTCTGTAAAATAATTAAAGCAAACGCTTTCTGCGCTTTCTGCCGTCTCGGTCTTGAGCGAGAAACTTCGAAACTTCATGTATGATAAATATATTTATAGAGAGTGAAATGTCTACTTTCAAATTTAAAAAAATTAAATAGAAAACGTGTGTTAGCATGCATGATTTACATGAAATGTAATGTGTGTGCAATGCACTGTGCATTGTTTAAGCTGGCATTCAGTTCAATAAAATAACAAAAAATACATTTTGGATTATATTCAACTAAAGTGGGTATGCTGAGATCTGTACGGTATTTTTTACTGTAACTGACATTTTTTACTGTAACTTTTACTGAAACTGTACTGTAACTTTTTACTGTATCATCCACAGTGATATTAGCTGCCCAGCAGAGCACTGCATAGAACAGAAGACATAAGAAGCTTTAATGCCAAAGAAATTGAACCTCCTCAAAAATAATATAACAAAAAGCTGAAGGTCTCTTCTATTGTCCAAATCATTATTTTGTTTGATTAGAGCGGGGTGTCTAACTCAATTCCTGGAGCGCCGGAGACCTAAGTACGGTCTCTTTAGAGATTAGAAACATTATGTCATTTTTTAATGGAAAAAAACTGTTGAGCTCTATCCAGTGCACGATAATGTCAACTAATGAAATGATATGGAGTTCCAGTTTGCTAAAAAATCAGTCATTCGATTCGTCTTTTTCAACGAGAGATTGCTATTGAATCATATCGGACCGCGCTGTGGCGCCTAACATATCTATACCGGTGGCTCTGTCTGATTTAATTCACTTAACCTTTAAAAAGAGTCATTTGTTTGTAAATCAAACTACACTGAGCACGCTGTTGTAGCATTACACCCGCTAACACAATTTAATATATGCAATCTGAATTTAATAATAATATTTATTTTGTGGTAACACTGCCGGTGGGGGAGCTCTGACACGGAAAAGCACTGTAGATATGTAAGAGAAAGCCGTAAAATGTAAGTGCATCTTCTGTTCTTGAATGGAGGCCTAATCTGTCTGCTGCACTAGAGCAGGCGCACATTTGTAGAGTGAACGGAAACTTTTAAAGCATATGCCGTATAATGTGATTAAAATCATACTTAACATAAGAACTGAACGGACCTGAAGTATGCCATCCCTGTTTGCTACATAATGTTTTTTTTTATTTTCTATAATATACTGTAAATATAATTTACTTATTTTGTGCTTTAAAAAGTGTGTTAATGTTTATATTGTAGTGCATTTGTTTATTGTTTATATATATATATATTAAAGTATTTGGTAATTTTATAATTAAAGCCGTTAATCTTTTTAAATGTTTGTATTTGTGTTTCGCTGCTGAATTACACTGAGCAGTTTCATTTGGCCCGGGGACCAAGCCGAGTCTCAGCCAGATCTGGCTTGAAGTGTCTGGGCTACACACAGTAATAGAAGTCCCTCTGCAGTGTGCGGGCCGGATCTGGGCCGGAGGAAATAGTTAGTGCATGTTTTCAGTGTGCGGGCCGGATCTGGGCCGGAGGAAATAGTTAGTGCATGTTTTCAGTGTGCGGGCCGGATCTGGGCCGGAGGAAATAGTTAGTGCATGTTTTCAGTGTGCGGGCCGGATCTGGGCCGGAGGAAATAGTTAGTGCATGTTTTCAGTGTGCGGGCCGGATCTGGGCCGGAGGAAATAGTTAGTGCATGTTTTCAGTGTGCGGGCCGGATCTGGGCCGGAGGAAATAGTTAGTGCATGTTTTCAGTGTGCGGGCCGGATCTGGGCCGGAGGAAATAGTTAGTGCATGTTTTCAGTGTGCGGGCCGGATCTGGGCACGGACCTGCGCTTCCAGAGCTCCGCTGTCATGGCGCTGCAGGAGGCCAGCGAGGCTTATCTGGTCGGTCTGTTTGAGGACACCAACCTGTGCGCCATCCACGCCAAGAGAGTCACCATCATGCCCAAAGACATCCAGCTGGCCCGCCGCATCCGCGGAGAGCGCGCTTAACCCGCCGCTGCAGCAGCGCAGGACCCCCAAAGGCTCTTTTCAGAGCCACACAATCACACTGAACCAGAGAGCTTCTGCTGGAACGCTGAATATAGATCAAACTAACACAGCCTGAGTATCATTACGATCTGGAACACTGGCATCAGATGCTCTGTAAATAACACTTCCTCCTCCAGGAGCAGCTGAGCTCAACACATACACGGCAATTGTATCATCCTAATTTTAAATCCATAATCTTCATGAATAAACAAAGACAATCCACCTCCCAAGCTGTGCTTTCTAACTCAATGCACCGAGTTATATTTAAATAATTTAAACATTTCTCTAGAGTTGTCCTTTAACCATGTTTCAAACCCATGTGCTTTGCTCTGCTGGATATCTGGATGAACGATAAGCTCGTGCTTCAGATATGCCTTCATTGCTGATGTTCTGCAGAGTCCAGATCTGTCCCGGTTTTATTACAGTTCGTTTCTAGACTCGCCTTAAACTCCTAGACTTGCT